CTTTTTTTTTTTTTTTTTTTTTTTTTTGAGACGCAACAAGTTAAGAAATAGATAGAAGACTGGTTGTACACATGTTGATGGAACATACACAACATGTGATTTCCTCTTTCTGGTGTAATTGTAGGCCAAGCCCAAGGGAAGACTACATAGGATGGGCCACAATAAGGAGGTCTTAATATAATGGAGTTCCAATAGGTCCAGGTGAGTCATGAAGGAACTGATGTCTAAGAGGGGATTCGAGGACCTATGGAGAAATAAATTCTTGTGTTTCGATGATTATTTTGTTACAAATTAGATATATTCAAAACAATTAAGACATTCATATGTAGTGAAGAAAATGAACTGATACGGTTCTAAAAAGAAACACTAAATGTAATACGTATACGATGGTCATATAGTTTAGGATTTGAGTGATTTTTGGTAGACATTATCTTTGAGGGAAACGGTAAGATATAAATGATTCGGATTGTTAAAATAAATTAGAAAGTGAGCCTTAGAAAATGGGTGTCAAAATTTGTGTCAGGCCTTTGTCCTTGGATTCAAATTCTATATCGTGTATACAGCACATGAGGGTGGAACTGGAAGGTGGCTAACGTGTTTGATATGTTGATTGTTTAGGAGGGTTCTCAAGCAAAATCTTATTGATAACTTTCATTCACTCGATATGATTTTGAGCTGTTGTAGAACAATGATGAGACAATTAGTAAGATTCGAGCTGAAGCACATTTTTAAGGGACGAAACTGTTGCCGACCAAATGATTTGGTCAGCTCTTATGAATGATTGATTTTGTGCTTGTAAATTGATCCGTCGAGTTAGATTTTCTGAGGTTGAGAGCAAAGGATGCCTACTAGTGGAGACTGTATCTAGTGACACTAACTATGCCAACAAGCGTGATCAAAATCTTATAAAATAGCATATATAATCTTATACCTGATGACACAAAAGATTTTCTAGGCAGACATCTCTTTGACCGTGCTCTATCATTTGCTCACTGGAAACACCGAACAGCAAAATTGCAGTTATTTGTACTTGTGGGCATAACAACGATGACTTATCGATGACCATAACGACAACGTTTTGACAAAGAGTAACTTCACAATGTCGACTTATCAATAATAACGGTAACTTAATAAATGACATATCAACTGCACGTTCATTTTTTTTAAATACATTTAACCGCACTACAGAAATCTCTCTCTCTATATATAATATAGTCCCTTTCTCAAACTTGTTTTATTCTCTTCTCTTCCATCAATCAAAGTCCCCCAACATAGGGCAATAATTGTTGGACTCTATATATAGTGATCAACTAAGCTCTTACTAGGCACCAAACCAGCCCGGAGGATGTCATAGTTATATATGTCAAGAGCTGCTACTTTGCACTACTTAATTAGTTTCCTCCATCACTAGTTTATAAATATTTTTCAAGTATTCCAGGTTTTTAATTGTGAATCGAGAAATGGCTCCAATTGGTCAGTTAGCCTCACCGGAAAACCACCCGGCGACCTCCCAAAATCCAAACATGTCTGATCATATTCTGAAGTCATCGACATTATTTGAACAACAATATTACCCACCTGGCTTTTTCAAAAAGGTATAACGTTGTATATATCTCGTATGCTTTTGTTTTGCTTTCGTTGCAAACATGCACTTTCATCGTTTTCTTAAATTATCAACTTCGCAGATAGAATAGTGTGCTTTACCCAAGTTTGAATCCTCTTTCTCGCAGTTTAAATGAGTTAATCGTTAATGTAAATATGTACTAATAGAAAAAATATCCAATTTCATATATGTATATGCTTGCAGGTGGTGGCAGAGCTGATAGCAACGTATATGTTGGTGTTTGTCACGGCCGGCTCAGCTGCTCTTGCTGCCAGCGACGAACACAGAGTCTCAAAGCTTGGAGCTTGGATTGCAGGAGGGCTTATCATAACCGTGATGATCTATGCGGTCGGCCACATCTCCGGTGCGCACATGAACCCGGCCGTCACTCTTGCCTTCGCCGCCGTTAGGCATTTTCCATGGGAATAGGTACACTCACTGCCAGCCTTCTAAGGTCCCCCATGTTTCCATTTTGTTAATGGATTATGGAATTGCAAATTTATTTTTTATTTGTTTCAGAACTATGTGTGAGACGTGACTTATGGACAATATAATGCCATGCATAGACAGGCCCATAAAACTCACATTGTAGATGCTTGTGTGGGGTCCAGGCTAAGGCCCATTTGGGCCCATAACCCATAACGTTATCTATGTACCCACACACTTGGCCACAAAACTCAACTTTTTTTTTAATATAAAAACCCAACAAACTTGCCACTTAGTAATCTAATAATATTCCTCTTCACTTCACTTGTAAGTGAGAGATCTTATGTTCGATTCACGCCAAAAGCGAGTCTAAACTACATTATTACTAGTCTATTGTGAAGCTAAGCCCATCCCCTCTCCTTTAGTGAATATCATAAGGGAACATCATTTAAAAAAACAGAGCTCCATTTTCTTGGATCCCACGATTTAAGAAAATTTTAGTCACCCACAATTATGTTTTAATTCAACAACGTAAGAAAACGTAAAATAACAGATTCAGATCAAACGATGAATAATTACAATTTCCCTAAACCATGGGGTCTAAAAGAATGAGATTGTTGGAAATTCTCATAAATTGAAGTGAACTGAATCCTCTATATCATAGTCATCCATATATGTTTGTTAGAGAATTGCATTTCAAGTGTTGTTCTTATGATTTATGATATTGGGGATAACAAACTGTAATATTTAATTTCTTAAGATTATATTTGGGTAAAAGATTTTTCAAGTTTCAAAGGAATTAGACCAAGTGAGTGAAAAAATACATCATAATTCTTTTAAATAGGATAGATTAAAAATGCATTACATGACCATTACAAAGGTATATAAGAGGAATTTGCATATGACACCTTCTAACAAGGGATTTACAAATTCCTGTTACATGTATTTGTATTTCACACACATTTCTAATCCCTCCTATTTGCATTTTGTGATCCATTTCTCCGTAACTCAAGTAATAAAAAAACGTTTACCTTTTTACCCGAAATTATAAGTTTAGTCACCCCACCCTATGATTAAAAACAACCCATATGTTTACACATTTTGGTTAGTTCGGGTTATTAGGCGTGTGCCCGCCCCCTTACAAGTTCAAATTCTTTTCTCCAAATATTTGAATGGTATAAAATATTGTCTCGTGAAATCATTAACATAGTAATCTCTATACTTATATATGTGAGAGGTTTTAAATTCGACTTACTTTTATTGTAAGTTCAATACCTAGGTATTATGTCTAACTCAATCTCTCACGAAAATTTTATTGTATTTGTACTAAAAAAAATCATAATACATGTCGTCTTGTGAAAAATTCCCAAAAGACTTTTTGGGTACATGGAGTAATTTTGGGCTACCAATTCTATATGTTGTGATTTAGGAAAGTAAGAAGTCTTTAAGGGAAGAGATTTTTTTTTTTTTTTGAATGAGGATTAGTTGTATGGTTCATACCACATTGAACGTCAATGATTTGAACAATCTATTTTCTAAGTTATACCTCACAGGTCATCCTTGCAAAATATTAATCAAATCAGAAAAAATTGAGACATCTAATTGGGTTCAAAGAAATTAACGAACGCTTTGTTCTATAAAAAACAATGAAATTTCATTGTGATAATTAAATAATCAAATAGTTTTGGATTGAATTGAATTTTTGCAAGGATGATCTAGGAATCGAGACCTACAAAATAGACTGTTCAGATCGTTGAGTTCAATGTAAAGTGAGTCCCACAACCAATCCTCATGTCTTGAAAAAATGAGAATCCCTTTGCACAAAAGGCTTGTAGAAATGTATACCATATATGGTCCACTTTTCAGCAAGTTGGTGGAGTGGTTTAGGAATGTATACCATACTTTTGTACCACAAACATTCATGACCTTTCTTTTCAGGTCCCAATTTATGCAGTAGCTCAACTAGCAGGATCAATATCTGCCTCGTTCACCCTGTCTGTACTATTGCACCCTATTAAACAACTTGGCACCACTTCACCTTCTGGATCAGAGATCCAAGCTTTGATCTCAGAGATAATCATGACATTTTCCATGGAGTTCGTAGCCTCCGCTGTCGCAACTGATACCAAAGCTGTACTGTTTTCACATATATAATTCTTCCCCTTTATTTTGACATGAAATTCCAACTCTTTATTTGACATTTCACTGAGGACTGTTCACAACAGGTAGGAGAGCTAGCAGGTATTGCGGTTGGCTCCGCGGTTTGCATAACTTCAATCTTTGCCGGGTAAGTAAAATATCGTGGAGATACGCACAAACAGAACTAGTTACAAATATTTAATAAAAAAATAGACACTAAACACACAATAACCGTGCATATATTTGAGCAAGGGAAACAGCTAACGTGGTGTTTGGTGAATACACAGACCAATATCAGGTGGATATCAATGAACCCAGAAAGGACAATAGGGCCAGCAATTACAAATGCATACTACAAAGGAATATGGGTCTACGTCGTTGGACCAGTGATAGGAGCCCTACTTGGCTCATGGTCCTACAGCTTCATTCGGGTCAGCGATAACCCGATCCAGGCAGTATCACCACCCTCATTTGCATTCAAGCTTCGTTGAATCAAGAGCGACAGCAATGGACAACCTACCTTCAAGGGCCCTCTGTGTTAAACTAGAGAGAAGGATAGAGATTTTACAGGAAGAGAAGTTTAGAGAGAGAGAGAGAGATTGAATGTAATTCTTCAGTATTATTTTTCTTAGTGAGTAAGCAATCTTACAGGGTATTTATAGAGAACACAAGATTATAACTAATCTAACTACCTAGCTAATCTTATGCCAAGTGTCACAATCTCATAGTTATACATAATATCTCTATCATCCCCCCGCAAACTCATGCTTGGAGGAACCTAGCATGAGATTGTTACAATGTGTGTGAAACAATGGAGCACTCAACCCCTTAGTCAAAATGTATGCAAACTGTTCCTTGGAAGATACAAACTGAACATGAAGCTGATGTTGAGCAACGCGTTCTCGAACAAAGTGAACATCAACTTCGATATGCTTGGTGCGTTGATGTTGAACATATTATCACAGAACAACACAGGAACAGAAGATATTGGAATCTGCAAAAAACTCAGGAGTTGCTTAATCCAATCAAGCTCTGCAGCCGTGGAAGATAAGGCCCTATATTCTGCCTCTGTGGACGATTTGGAGACAGTTTGTTGCTTCTTAGAAGACCAAGAAATAGGATTACTTCCGAGATAAACAACGAACCCAGTTGTGGAACGCCTATCATTGGGATCCCCGACCCAATCAGCATCACTAAAAGCTTTAATATCTAAAGCAGAACTGGAATAAGACAAGCCATATGTCATGGTACCCTTAAGATACCGAAGAATCCGTTTGACTGCAGTATAGTGGGAAACCATAGGACACTGCATAAACTGACACACCTGATGAACAGAGAAGGCAATATCAGGTCTGGTAAAGGTTAAGTATTGCAGAGCACCCACAACACTCCTATAATGTGTAGGATTGTTATACGGTTCACCATCATCTTTGAGAAGCCGATGATAAGGCAGGCAGGGTGTATCACAGGGCTTAGAGTCAACCATTTCTGTTTTAACCAATAGATCATGGACATACTTGTGCTGTGAAAGAAACAACCCATTTGCAGTGCGAGAAATTTGAATACCCAAAAAATAGTGCAAAGAACCGAGGTCTTTGATATCAAATTCAGAAGTCAAGGACTGAATAACCTGTTGAATAGCCAGGGAGTCATTGCCAGTGATGATAATGTCATCCACATAGAGCAACAAAATAACCAATGTGGATCCAACAGCCTTCACAAACAAAGAAGAATTAGAATACGTAGTGGTGAACCCCAACTGAGGAAGAAATGCAGTGAATCGCTCATTCCAGGCTCGGGGAGCTTGTTTCAAACCATAGAGAGATTTATGGAGTTTGCAAACCAAATTAGGATAAGTAGGGTCTTCAAAACCTGGAGGTTGCACCATATAGACTTCATCTTGCAAAATGCCATGTAAAAAGGCATTTTTGACATCCAACTGCCGAAGAGACCAATTGAAATGAGCAACTAAGGCCAACACCATCCGCACTGTTGTGGGTTTAACAACGGGACTGAAAGTCTCAGTATAATCAATCCCAGGTTCTTGACTAAACCCTTTAGCTACCAACCGAGCCTTATGTCGAGCTATAGTACCATCAGAGTGTTTCTTAATTTTGAACACCCATTTACAACTAACCAAATTCTTGTTGGAAGGCAAGGACACCAAGCTCTAAGTCTTCTGAGTATGAAGAGCATCAATCTCTTCGGTCATAGCAGTCAACCAAACTGGACATTTAAGAGCTGACTTGTGAGAAGTAGGTTCAATCAAAGACGGATCTGTGGTATGAGATGACTGTAAAGCAGAGAAAAATACCTTCCGTTTGATGATCCCACTTTTACTTCTTGTTTGCATGGAATGTAAGTTCAAAGACGGAACGAACAATACCACTTGAAGAGTCTCAGGACTATGGACAGGTGCCACAGGGATCGCAAGACTGTCACTTTCTGCAACAGTAATGGACTGAGAGAGAACAGGTAAATTGGAACTAGATGAGGGTGACAATGAAGATGGTATGGAATGCATGGAAGATGAAATGGACTCTGGGACATGGGGAGATGAAGAAGAGAGTGTAGAAACAGGTGAAACAAGCACGTTGTTTGATGTAGCAACAGGAAGTGGGAAAGACACCGAGGATGGAGGCAATGAAATACGCTCCAGTTTCGATGCTGTCAATAATTCTGTAAAAGGAAACTCTTGTTCACAGAAAAACACATGCCTTGATACATAGATTCGCTGTCTAGCCACCTCATAACACAGAAAGCCTTTGAACTTGGAAGCATACCCTAAAAAGACACACTTAGTAGTTTTGGGTTGTAATTTGGTGCTATTGTAAGGTTTAAGGAGAGGATAACAGGTACACCCAAAAATTTTCAAGTGAGAAAGAACTGGAACACTCCCATATAGTAACTCAAAAGGAGACTTATTGGAGAGTAAAAGAGTAGGCATTCTATTGATAAGATAAGTGGCTGTTTGACAAGCAAAGCTCCAGAAAGAAGAAGGAAGCTGAGCATTGCTAAGCAAAGTAATGGTGGTTTCAATGATATGCCGATGTTTTCGCTCAGCCAAGCCATTTTGTTCCGGGGTATATGGACAGGATTTTTGATGTGAAATGCCTTTGTCAACTAAAAAAGACTGAAATTTATTACTACAAAACTCACCTCCCCCATCACTCTGGAAAATCTTCACAGTAGCAGAAAACTGATTCAACACATAGGCATAGAAAGCAATAAAGGTGGCACAAAGATCTGATTTATTAATGAGGGGAAATATCCATGTGTATCTAGTACATTCATCGATAAAGGTAACATAATACCGATATCCATCAACTGATGTACAAGGTGCAGGACCCCAAAGGTCACTATGCACAACCTGAAAAGGAATGACAGACTTATTGACAGATGTGGGAAATGGCAGTTTACAAAATTTACCTTCTAAACAACTTTAACACACAAGAGGGACAGAATCTTTGGCACAAGGAATGTTGGACTTATGCAACATTAAAGAAACAATGGAATTAGAGGGATGGCCCAATCTATGATGCCATATAGTAGAATTGACAAGTTGTCCAAGAAAAGCTTTAGCTTGTAGCTTTGGAGGAGGTACACCAAGAGTGGTATTAGCAAAGGAATGAATGGGATAAAGTCCATTACTGCAAAGCCCTCGGAAGAGGATCCTCCCTGTGGCTTTGTCCTGTATCCAAAAGCAAAAAGCATCGAAGATAAGATAACAGTTGTTATCTAGACAGAGCTTGTGAACAGAAAGTAGATTCTGTGATAGTTTAGGAACATATAACACATAATTTAACTGGATAGGCTGCACAGAAGTGTTAAAAACAGTACTACCAATATGGGATACTTTCAAACCTTTACCATTAGTAGTTTGAATGGTTTCATTGAATGGATATGGTGAAGCCAATGACAAGTTGTGTAAATCTGCAGTCATGTGATTGGTGGCGCCTGAATCAGTAAGCCACACTTGAGGAGTGGTCGGTGAAGCAGAAGGTTGTGATGGAGGAGCCAGGGCAGTATGCATAGCTTGCAGAGATGGCTGCGAGTATTGTGGCATAGGATAAGCAGGACCGGAACTCTGAGAATAGCCATATTGCTGTCCAGTATGTGAAGCAAATTGTTGTCCAGGATGTGAAGCAAATTGTTGTCCAGGATGTGAACCATATTGCTGTCTAGGCATAGGAGAATATTGCTGTCCAGGCATAGGAGAAAAGTGAGAGGCAGAACCAATGTAGTTCGATCCTTTCTCATTGTAAAAACAAAACCAGGTGACATGATTGGTTTTGCCACAGATGTGACATTGCGATCTGGTAGGAGGCGGAGAATCACAAAATGGGGCTGTATGACCATCACTATTACATAGCTGACATGTAACAAGTGATGGAGCAGAAGGAGCATAAGAAGAGTGTGGAGCTTGACCAAGGACTCCTGGAGCTGAAGTTGGAAACACATGAGTTTGCGGTTGAGAAAATGGTATGTGATTAAAGTTTCTAGAACCTGGATTAAACTTGCCCTTGCCTTTGTTCTTATACTGATTGAACTGCTTAAATCCCCTTGGAACAAAATGAGACTGTCCGGAGCCATTGGAAAAAGACGGAGAGGAGCCTTTAGGTGCCAGTGAGGAATTTGTAGCAACCATTGCAGCTAAAAATGGTGTAGGTGTACTGGAATCAACAATAGCTTCTTCTGCAAGCAACTGAGACCGAAATTCTTTGAGAGAAATAACTTGTTCTCGGCCTCGAATAACAGTTCGGAATGTATTATACTCATGAGGCAACCCATTCAAAGCCAAAATCACGATATCTTCATCAACAAAGGAAACACCAGCAGCAGTAAGATAATCCCTGGCAACTTTTATCTTTTGGAGGTACTGAGCCACAGTATCAGTTCCTTTCTTAATGTTTTGTAAGTTGGACTTCAATTGAAAGATACTAGTGCGAGAAACAGTAGAGAATTGATCCCTTAATCGAGTCCAAAGATCACGAGAACTAACACTACCGATAGCACATGACATAGCTACTAGAGATAAAGTGGTAGTGATCAACTGCATAAAAGCCCGATCATGCATCATCCAAATCAAATACGCATCAGAGGCAACAGAAGATGATGAATTTGACAAATCCACACCAGAGGGACCAGAGGGAGAAACACAGCGAGAAGGACGCGGGATGGAGCCATCAACAAATCCCATGATACCATTAATTTCGAGTAATAATTGCATTTGGAAATTCCAATTGAGGTAATTGGAATCATCAAGTTTAATATTCACCGAAGTAGGAAGCGATGAAATAAGTGCAGTAATTGGAGACTGGAGCAGTTGCAATTGACTAGCAGTAACCATGATGCAAGAAACAAGGCACAAGTAACCATGATGCAAGAAACAAGGCACAAAATCTGGTAGAAAGAAAGATACCTCTCAGCGGCAAAATCACAAACACCTGGAGTGCAGAAACACAAAAGACAACGAGAAGAGAGTTCCGATCAGAAATTGCAGAGCGTCGAAACCCTAGAAGCTTGAAAAAGAAGAGATCCGAGAAGAACACAGCACAATTCAGCTGTGACACGACAATGCGTCAATTAGCATGAACAATAGCGGAAGCTGATTAAGGATCGAAGAGGCGGTAGCCATGGCGGCGAGTGATACCATGTTAAACTAGAGAGAAGGATAGAGATTTTACAGGAAGAGAAGTTTAGAGAGAGAGAGAGATTGAATGTAATTCTTCAGTATTATTTTTCTTAGTGAGTAAGCAATCTTACAGGGTATTTATAGAGAACACAAGATTATAACTAATCTAACTACCTAGCTAATCTTATGCCAAGTGTCACAATCTCATAGTTATACATAATATCTCTATCACTCTGGATTCAGCTTGAAATTTCTGTATACAGATCAATAGGATCTTCCAAAAGTCTGCAAAACACGTTAAGCAACTTGTACGCACACCAGAAAACTCCTTGGATTGATGATCTCTTTGTGCAATTATCTGTTTTGTATATATATCCCAATCAGTCTACCCCCCACTCAAAAATATTGTTCCTTAGGTTGCAAGCAACATACAATGTTATATGAAACAACAGCTCAAAGTGAATTTGATGTCAGTGGTTCCAGTTATAATCCATCACACCAATCAACCAACCTTATATGCTTACGAACCACCCATCTTTCGTTCGGTCCTTCATCGTAATGCCCCACAATAGAAACATTCTTGAAGTCTACAATGACATCAAGCATAAAATGATGTTGGTCAAACGAATAAAAAAGATACGTTAATTTACTGATATGATAAAATTAGGAATTTAGCTCTAGCATTCATCGAAAGGTAACTAGGGCAGCTTCTATGAAGAAAAGATTCGAGAAAACCCTACTCAACAAAGGAAATAAAACATAAACTGTATCAGCATGGAGGTTCATCCAAAGAAACATTTAACACAAAATCAAAAGCATGACTGAAACACCATTCGCTGCCGCCGTACATGTGGCACAAAGAATGCCTGTTCAACAAGCTCACTTGTACACAACCTGCAGTGTATTAATGTGAGGTGGAAAATGGAAATATATAAAATCCATCACAAATTGAAGAAGAGGCAAAGTGAGAGAGAGAGAGAGATCCGTGGACAAACTTGATACATTTCCTCTAACTTCAAAGTGATTGCATTCAATCCTGCTATGAATTCATCTAGCCTACGATCACAATTGCAACTATGGCATGCCTCATCTTTCTCCATTCATCATACTGTCCCTTTAGTGGTCCAGCCCTTTTATTAGTGGATAGAAGGTGAGAATCAAAATTATTACATAAAAATGTGAAAGTAACTATATATTCTATCTTTTTCTATAATTGAATGAGGAATTTACAAGTAAAAATAAATAAAATTAGAATGCAAATGTTAGTTATAAAAAAAACAATAAAATACAAAAGATAAAAAATACACTACATTAGAATTTTAAGCTCTCCAAATATTAATTCAATTTTACACTCCAACAAATTTGGCATAAACTGCAATCTAGTTGAGCATTACAATTAGGCATAACACAACTAGGTTTAGTTGATTGATCATGTTTTGAAAGTACAATTCATTTACATTTGTCTATGTATAGTACATCATAATTACAAAATCGAGTTGAAAGTACATTTTTGTCGCAACGTTATCCCGAATAAATTATCATGTCTTACAATTTTGTCGTATTAACTTACTGTTGTCAACGTAACATATCATAACTAACGAATCTAGGTTATCGGGAAAAAAGAACACTAACGAACCTAGACGTGAAACTTTGTCGGAATTTGAGTTGTGTTAGAAAAAATTATCATGTTGAATTACAATTTTGTCACTGCGAATGGCGACAATTTTTTTCATTGGAATAAATTTACTGAGTTCTCTCTAATCATTATGTATCTGCTTAATTTTTATTTTTCATTTTATTTGAATATTTTTTATATAATATTACTAAGAATTGTAATTTTTAAATATTGAGCATTTAAAATTAGATAAACTTTTTTTCTTCTTAAATACAACGATATATTTACACTAAAGGAGGTGAGGAATACATATTTATTAATTAAGGGAAATACTCACACTTTATTAGGGGAACCCTTTGTTCACCCATATGTGAATATGAATGTTAACCATGGTCCATACATAATTAATTGTTTATTTTTTTTAACCATGAAATGTATTTTTTTTTTTTTTGCAAAAAAGCAATCAAATTTGGGGTTATTTAGTAATCCTTATGCATATAACAAATCAATGGTTCTACTAACATTCTCATGAATCATCAATTTGTTTCATATATTTATATATAAATGATTAAATGATCATCAGTTTGATAATTTTTTTGGTAGAATCAATCTTTAAATGTGATTAAAATATGAATGATGTTCTGATTATGATATATGTATGATTAAAAAACGTCAATCACAACTAAGTTGATAAGAAGGTGCACAGAAGACGCAAGTATTGTACTGTTCTTAATCACGAATTTCAATATGTGTTAATTTCATGGTTAATTATACATGTTAACTTCTTTTTTGGATACATGAACGTAAATCTATAAAATCTAAGAAGAAGGCTTTCTGATAAAAAGAAGGGCATGGTAGTAAATGGATAAGAAAAAGCCAACCTTGCGTAACCGTCGTAGAACAAGGGGAGAAAACACCAGAAGAAATTGAATAGAAAAGCAAATTGCCACACAAAAGCATGGTTATGTGGCACAAACACTGGATTACGCGTCCATCTCCAGCCATGCCTGGCGCCAAATGTATTTCATGAACATTGTTTCCTTCCGACCCTAGTCCACCCACTGCGTTATAAATGTGAGCTATTCTAAGCCCTCGATGCAAAGCGAAAAACACGCACTGCTCTGTAAGAGAGAGAGAGAGAGAGAGAGAGAGAGAGAGAGAGAGAGAGAGAGAGTCTCTGAAAAGAGAGAAGCTTAGAGGAGATCTCCAGTCAGTGGTGCATTTTGTTCTCTCATTTTTTTAATTTCATTCCTTCAGTTCATTGCTCTTGAGCCTTCTGTCTAATTTGCTGTATATACAAATGTATTCTGATTCGAGTTATTTTTATGTGTATACATATAGTTTTTTTGGTCGGTTCGGTCATGTACATATAATAGATGTATCATATTTTTCTAGGGTTTAAAGAGACCATCTTTCCCAAAAAAATTTCGTCTTTAGAGGGTTTGCATCGGTTTAATAGTTTCCCAATGAAAACATTTAATTATTTTTCTACATATTCGGGTAAACTAAAATGCCTTACACTTAATTGGTTAATGTGATTATATATTCTATTTTTTCCCAAGATAAATTTATATATAGCATTTTTTTTTATTGTTTCAGATCTGATGGCATCTTATTATGCATGCATGCCTGATCTGTATATGTTTTGTGGAAGCAGGTAACGTACAAAATCTTCGATGGAAACCGCTAGCAAGATGGTGGAGAAAGCGGCGGCCTTCGCCTCAGGGAAAAGTAGTACTGAAGCAAAGGAGAAAGTAGAGGCGCTGAACAAAGACATAGAAGCAGGTCAGGGATCCTCGAATGTGAACTCGGAAGAAGGGCAGGGATCTGGTATTGGAATACAAAATGAATGCAGAATTTGCCAGGAGGAGGATTACCTTCACAAACTCGAAGCTCCTTGCCGCTGCAACGGCACTCTTAAGGTACACCATATCATGTATATGTTATGAATTAATTACTTGAATACGAACATGCATGTAACGCTTTTAATCCTTAAGAAGACGTCTCTGCAATGTCAGCTAGTCAACTTGTTTTGGTATGTTTGTAGGATCCATTTATTACATGGTGTCATCAACGATGGCAGTTTCATGTGTCCAAATATGATGTTTATTGTCACTTATAGTACTACGGTTTAGTGATATTCATCTTCACTTGTAAGTGAGAGGTCTTAAGTTCAATCCTCGCCAAAGTTAATTTTGAACTACATTATTGCTAGCCCATTGTGAGGCTAAGCCAACCCCCCTCCCTCTTAATGTAAATAATGTATTAGCACGTTAATCAACATTTCAATAATAATTCAATTATTAACAACCACGTCATATAATTTTTACAAAATATGAATGCTACTCTTACCACCTATTTATATCATCATTTGTATCTAATAGAGATGAAGCCCACATGTATTGACAGACTCTACCTCTACTAGAGAAAAGATACAAATGATGGTACAAATAAGTGGTAAATGTAACATCACTCTTAAATAAATGATTTGCTTAGCATTACTCTAATTAATATGGCTGGCTTTCTTTTCGGCTGTATAGTTTGCTCACAGGGATTGTGTTCAAAAATGGATCAACGAGAGGCTAAGTATGACTTGTGAAATCTGCAACCAGGTATATATCATATAGCATGCTTCTTAATTTATTTCTGCTTTTTTTTTTCTATACAAATATATATAGGTTTAGGGTTTATATCTAGAAAATGAACTTTTCTGTTTCTCTTGTGCCACTGAATACACAGCCCTACGAGGCTGGATATACGATGGTGATACCCCCTCCACAGCCCAGTCCTCAAACCGAAAATGTCACTATTCCAATCAGGCAAGTCCAATTTCCCGAAGCTATAAAACATGCAGTAGCACCATAGTTGTAATTAGCTAATAATTATAACCACATAAAATTAACGTTGATCATGAAACTAATATGATATATGGGTATGGATGCATGTGTCGCAGAGATGGAACTTATTTCATGGTGAATACTCAGGCTGGGCTGCAAGCTGCACAAAGGACTGCGCAGACAGAGGCAGCAGCGGAGTTCCTCCGCCGCCAGCATGCTATGCAGGCTCACGGTGGTATAGCTTTCAATGCAAATGCACTATGTCGCATTGCAGCAATTATTGTAAGGCCAAGAAGCTAATTATATATCTTTATTGAGTCATAATAATTTCAGTTATACATTTATCAAGTTTTCATTTATTATTTAGTAATATCGCCTTGCAGTGCCTCACATTTCTTGTAATGAAAGATATGTACTACTTCTATGAAAGTGGACAGGATAGCCATTTGCTTACTATCTTTTGGGTAAGTAGGATATTAATCAACACTAAATCTATATATTTTCTTCTTAGAAAATGGTTAATTCTTTTATGTTAAGGTTAAGACTAACTCAGCACCATGGTGATTGATACACACAGGTTTTGTTGGGTCTTCTCATACCATCCTATCTCATAGCTTGGTGCGCAAGTGCATATGTAAGCAAGCACTTCCATGATTAATTCTTATTACACTGACCTCTTCCATGATTAATTATCTAATTACATATTTCTCATTAATTACTAGTGTTGTGCACCGAACCAAAGTGAAGGCGATTTAGCGGTGGTGGAGGTCGCAGTGCCGGAGGTCCCAGTTGCGGCGGCGCTGCAGTATAACTGGACTGCTCATCGATATTGATGCAAAGACTCTTCTTCAGAGTTGATGGGGAATAACTATGGTTGTATAAGCCAATAAACTCTCTTCTCCTAATTGAAAATTATGTAATGCAGATGTTGGTTGTTTTATGTGAATTTGTAATTTTATTTTGCTGTACTCTTATGTTTTATTTCATTACAAGAGCAAACTAGTTATTATGAATACAACAAAATTTTATTTTATTAAGTGAAGTCTGCTGTTTGAGTTAAGATTTGCTTTCTAAAGATAGAGGCCCAAACATTTTTTATGGTTGCTTGAGCTAAGGCCTTCGAGCCTTGTGGCCCATCTTAATTGTTAATGTAGTCATGCATTGTTCTCTTCTTTACCAAATCTCATAAGGAGGTGCTATTTGGAAAGATGCACAATGATTTACTTAGAACACGATGACCTACTTAGAACAAGAGAAGTCTTGTCACGGAAGCAGACACTAGACCTAGTGTTTGAGAGAATGACTTATACGTAACAAAGGCGAAAATATTAGTGTTTCAAACCATTGATGTACTGAAGACTGTATTATACTTTTGTGTTTGTAATTTGTGTACTCCAAATTCTAAATGGCATTGGATGCAAATTCAACTAAATATTATCACGTGACGAACTTATGTTGAACAGAATATTCACGTTAAACCTATATTTAACTTTCATTCGAGTAGTCACGTTCATATTTAACTTTCATTAGACCAATGACGCCACTGAAATAGTGGAGAAACTGTGGTTGAAATAGTGGAGAAACTCTGGTTTATAGGGCACACAATGGATATGAGTAGGATTCCACCATCCACAATACAAAAGGTAGTGCAAATATATATTGTAACAATACATCAGGGAGGCTCTCTGTCTCTCTCTAACTTAAAACAAAATTCTCAATGACTGGATTTGGCTAAGAGAATTTCAAGGTCCTTCTCAAACCAACAAAACAAACCCAGTACAAAAGAGAATTCATACATTTCATGAATATATGATATTATATATAGATAATTAGTAATACTAAGAGGATTATGATAAATAGGATAATTAAGGGATTAATAATCAAGGGCACTTGGGTCCTCCTTGCTGGGTCTTCCAGTTGTTGTAGCAAGGGCACACAGCCTTGTTCCCGTAAAACCCAGGGGGTACACACAGGCACTTCTTGCAGCATTTCTGACAGAAGAACATGCAGGGCTTGTGGTACTGCGTCTGGCTGCACCTCCTCGTGCATTGTGACGGGCATTCTGGTCATTTTATCACACACAGAGGCAGGCAAAAGTCACAAAACCGAAACAGTAACAGTTACTCCGTAACCCAACCCAGATGCAGATTGCAATATTGTTGAACCTTGGTAAATGAATGAAGACCATGGTCAAGACTTTGACTGGGAAGAGAAATTAAAGCTTTTTTTTTTCCTTTTGGTTAAAGAAAAATAATTTCTTTAGTATTTAGAAGAAAAAATAAATAAGTAAACATCTAAGTCAGTAAGACAGTGTGTCCACGATTGCATCGAAATTCATACTCTTTTTTTGTGAATTGAAATAGTTGAAACATTGCTATGTAATATGTTAAAAGAGAAGAGAAGAGAAAAGAAAATTGGGTTGTGAGATTAACTACTTACGGCTGCTCTTGAGACTCCCAGGTCCATATGCATTCTGAAAAAAAAAAAAAAAATAGTAACAACATTTAAGCAAAATGTAAACAGTTCAATCATAATTCATAAAACAAGGTAAAGATTCAAGCTTTATAGAAAAATCCACATTATCTGTGTGTGAGGGGTATAGTGCGAGAGAGCTTACATTGCCCTTGTGCTGGCCTCCATGCCCATGATTTGCCATAACCTGCAACAAAATTGATGAACAAAACATGTCATTTTGTGAATGTAGGTGGCATTCTTGTCATTGGGAACAAGTTCAAAGGTTTTGGGGGGGGGGGGTTTTGAAAAGAGAAATTTTGAGCTCATACCATGGTTTGAAGCATGGAGATGGCAAGGAAAGCCAAGAACAAGGCAGCAAAGAACTTAGCCATGGCCATTGTTACAGACAAGTCCCCGTTAAATGGCGAAACTAACCTCAGGGACAAGAGGAGGGTGATGTGAACAGGAAGAGAAGAAAGGGGAGTTATGGGTACTTGGTGATGTGGTGGGGGGTATAAGTAGCAGAAAATCAACGAGCACGCAATTGTTGGGTAAACACACTCACACAGACTACTAGGGCTGCTAGCTTGGCATCAACTGACACGCGTGCAGGCACATTGATTGAGTGGCTATGATGAAGCAAAGGTTAAGTATGGCTTAACCCACTATTAAAAAGGGAAAGATGTCTTCTTGAGTCATCATTTCTTGAAAATATCCTTCTGAGTTGGCATAAAAGATCATCACATGGGCAACAGGATATATGGATAGAATGTTTATTGTTTCTTTATATATAGATACCCACGCTTATTACGTTGAGAGAATATTTATTACGTGTAAACAACCTAAGAGCATTTTCAAATAAGATGTCAAATATAATATATCAAAATTTTATTTGATGGTTGATGTGACAAATTAAATACAAGTGCTAAATTCTCTTCTTTTTCAATGGATGTGTCAAATATTTATTTTATTATTTTATTAGGCATAGAGTTACATTACCTATTAAAAAATAATCCAAATTAATTGTAGTTTTTATTCTATTGGTTGTTAATGAGATTCATGTATTAAAAAAGTTTAATTAAATACATTTGACTCCTTCTTTGTTTGCTGTCAAAAAAGTCAGTTAGAAAGCAACGAGTCAAATGACTCATATGCCACATCATATATAGCATATCCATTGGAAAATACCTAAATGTCTTTTAATCCTATTTGACATATTTGACATTTTGGAGATGGTCTAAGAAGCTGTTTGATAATTATTTTTTAAACTATAAATAATTACTTTCATATTTTACGTTTCACTAAAAACTAAAATTAAAACAAAAGATTGGAATTTTATCAAACCACCCAAAATCTTTCCCCTTTTATTGCTCCAAGCTTTACACATATGAGAATATATCTCTTGTTGCACCAATCCTATCTTATGCAGGAATGCAATTTAATATATTTGGTACAAAAATGGTGAGCCTTAAAGGCAAGGGGAAAAAGTTACTTTGTAGGTGAACTAGTTGGGTAACTTGGCAGATCATTATAAATCAAAGTGTGGCTCATGCTCAGCCTTTAAAAAGGAGGGCAAAGTAGCCCACTAGGTCAACGTTTGAGAGGTTTATGTGAGAGTTTGTCATTTCTGCACTTTTTTTTTTTTTTTTTTTTAAAGAGGATAGTTTTGATGAGTTGATTTGTTAGCCGTTAAAAATAAAAAAATCAATAGAAATCAAGCTCGTATCAAAATATATAAACATCATTACTTTTTGTCATTACGATATAACGTTATATGCCACTCTTATTTTTTCAATATTAGCAATTTAGCGTTCTTGTTGTTAACTTCATTATAAATCAAAAGCAAATGGATAAATAAAAACAACATACAGAGCGTAAGACAAAAAATTAAAAATGTTAAATCATTACAGAAAATCTTTACTCTTCCTGGTTTGCTCAAATTATACATATGCTAAAATTCAAACTCAATGTTCTTGTTCATTAACGGGGAACTGACCAAAGTGTCCTTCAATTGCTCTTGGTCGTGTGTTTTTTCCCATTTTTGTACAGCAACAAGACAAATTTGCCCTCGCTGCCCACGCGTCCATCATCGCTGAAGGTTCTACTTCAACTTGGTCTCCACTTTTCCTTTCCTCTTCACTTTTCTCTCACGAAACTCTGCCCTTGTCACTCTCTTTCGCTCTCAAATCTCGACTTCTCTGTGTGATTCTACTAGTCTCTCCTCTACAAAGCCGGCAAGAAATTCTTTAAAATCAAAGAGCTCCATATCACCACCGGAACAACAGGTCCTTCAGATTCTCCACCATTTCTTCACTCTAAATTTTTTCACTATATACGATATCCAAGTTAAAATAAATCATATGATATATCAACAATAACTTAATATCAAATGCGTAGGTTGAATTCCAGTGATAATATGCCTAGTCTTTTTTTCATGGGAACTTTAACGAAAAGCACTCGGTACTGTTCACTTTAACGAAAAACCACATTTTTACACTAAAAAGTCAATCTTGGTACTATTCACTTTACCCTTTATTTTGTTCTTATCATTAAAACTCAAAGTTTTCAAACCCTTTTCATTAGTTTTCTTTTTTTTCATTGAACATGTAATGGACGGTGCATTGAAGAAGGGAGGGTAGAGGTAGTTAAGCGCATTGGGAGTGAGGGTGTCCCCGCAATGTCATAGTTGACAGACAAGAAAACGAAAATTTTGGTTATGTTGCGTTTAACGAGACGAGTGAAACAAGTTTATAGGCACTCGGGTGTAAATTTCTCCACATTACAATATGGAGTAAATTGTAGCTAAGGTCCTTTAACTTTAACTCAATTTGAGCAATTATCCCTCATCTAAAAATTCATTACCATTGGTCCCTTAACTCATCAAAACGTGCAGCTATGGTCCTTCAACTAAAAATGAATTACCATTGGTCCCTCAACTCATCAAAACCCTCAACTTATCAAAACGTGCAGTTATGGTCCTTCAATTAAAAATTCATTACTATTGGTCCCTTAACTCATCAAAACGTGCAGTTATTAATTCAACTGGAGAAATAGTCCCTTAATTTTAATCCAATTGTAACAATGATTTTTCCAACATAATTCGTTTTGACAAATTTTTTGACGTAGTTGACGAAAATGACCATAATTACACATTTTGATGAGTTGAGGGATCCTAATTATATAAATGGTTATTCCACCATAACTTATTTTGACAAAATTTTGACGAAATTGATGAAAATGACTATAGCTACACATTTTGATAAGTTGAGGGACCAATAATAATGGATTTTTAGTTGATGGACCATTGTTCTAATTTAATTAAAGTTGAGTGATCATTGCTACAATTTACTCTTACAATATATTGTTTTTAAAAATTAAA